TTTCTATTTCTTCAGATGCTTCTTAGTATTATATTGTTTCTTAAGTTTGAGTATGAAGAATGATACTCAATTCATTTGAAAAATGCAAACCAATTGCTGGAGGTCTTATGAATATTTTCTCTTATCTGTGTTGCAGTAAGCTAATAGTCTTACCCCTGAAAGTATTACTAAATTTCTTTTAATCATTCCAGCTATTATATCAGATCCAATGGCATAATGGTATATGTTATATTTGAAAATAAATGCATGTTTGCATGGCAAATCAAACTTTATGTGTAGCATAATTTGTTTTGTGTTTGTTCTCATGAGGCACCTCAATGTATTTAAACATACTCTCTAACAATTTAAAATTGGTAAGAAGCACACATAATGAAATGCCTTGCTGACTGTAGCATATATTTCAAATGAAAACAGCAAGGGCATTTTTAAAAAAGATATTAAAATTGATTCCTGTTTGTGTAAGAATAATTGAAAGTAAATTGAAACCAAAGGCAGTAGCACCAGCATATTAAATAGCCAATTATAGCAGTGTCCTGTCTCAGCATGTGACTCAGGATTCATTTGGGGTTTGGAGGGGAGACTCCTCTTGATTTTCAATGATGCATCATGAGTCAAGTAGGTGGAGATCCAAGGAAATGGATCTTACCAGAAGGAAGCTAAATTAAAATTACATTAATTAAATACTGTAAATATGATTGTTTCATGTTAATTAAATTTCCCCCTTGATTGTATTAATAATTATAATTTAGTGGTAATTTCTGCAGTGGCTGTACGAGTTTTACCAAAGGCTTGAAGTTCTGAGATGTTTTGTACACTCCAATTACACTCTAGGTCAGTGATGGCTAACCTTTTTGCCATCGCGTGCCAGGAGCGGGGGGAGTGTAGGGGAGGGTCACACGCGCATGTTCCCACACCCATAATTCTATGTGCCCCGCCCCGCGCATGCACGCACACACACCCTCCCCCCATTCCTGGCCCGTGATGGCCTGGTAGGCCCATTTTTCTCTCTCCCGAGGCTCCAGAGCCTTTCTAGGACTCTGGGGAGGGCAAAAATGGCTGCCCCCCTCCCGGAGGCCCCGCGGAGGCCGAAACAGCCCATTTGCCAACTTCTGGTGGGACCAGAGACCCGTTTTTCTCTCTCCCCAGGCTCCAGAGCCTTTCTAGAAGTGTGGGGAGATCGAAAACGGCCTCCCCACACCCCCGGAGGCCCTCCAGAGGCCAAAAACAACCCGTTTGCCAAATTCCAGCCACCACTCTACTTTTAAAGGCTTTTTCTATTTTCGAATTCTAGAAAGGTAATGAAAAGGGAAACTTTACTAAATTCCTAGTGAGTTATCTTACAGTGCTAATAATCTCTATTAAATCTCATGTCTTGTAACTTGCTTGAATCTGAACTTGATTGTTATCAGGGCAGAATACCGTATTCTCCATTTTTTTAGTGAAAGTGCTACAGTAGTCCAAAATTTGCATTTCCAGCTACTGAAATGCATCAGCACTCATAAAACAGTTGGACATAAAGCAAATATGGAGAGGTCAGATTATGTGGAAGTCAAGATGGAAGCATCTGACAAGTATAGGCCTACCAGATTTGGGCTGCAACAATCCAGACTTCAAGATTGCAGCAAAATGTTATCCTGAGTTTTGCTGCCCTCTAATGATCAGCTACATTTTTGCAGTCAAGATCTGCTAACTGGGAGGAAAAATGATGTGAAGTGCCAAGAAATAACTGATAAGTTTCAATTTAAGAAGGAAGGTCACTCAGGGACGATGGTAGGCAGAAAAGAAAAAATGGCTATCAAATTATGGAAATAATAGCGGCTTAAAGCAGTTTAACTGGAATTGAAAAGTCAGAGAAACAGAATAACAATAGAATGTTATTAAACCAGGCTTTCTAGTACATGAAAATACTTAGTATTTTGTCTACAGGCTAAAAAGGCATATCATGAATTGGTACGCATTCTACACATTTGTTCAGAATTCAGTATTGCATTTATTCCATCATAAATTGGTTTGGGATCTAAGTTGTAATTTATTACATATAGAAAGCTGCAATATAGAAGTCTAAATGAGCTCTCACAAATCCAAATGGTATTTATGGACTGTTGGAGCTACAACTGCCAGAATTTCCATTGAGAATTTTGGGAGTTACAGTCGCTGCATATTTGAGAAGTACAAGATTGGAAAATGGTGATCTAAATTAAATTTATTGGAAGAATTTTAAAATCCAGAGACATGTGGTCAATCCCTAATATAGGTTTTCATTTAAAATTAAGTTCTGGTAAATTTTCTATATTCTATATTCTGTAATCAAATCAGGATTAATTTTAAGTCTAGCATAAACATCAGGCGAACCAACAGCCAATTCCATAAATTCAATGTCTAACACAATAGCACAAAATACTGTTGTTGTGGAGATAATAGGAGATGGAAGGAGTACTATGTATGTTCACCTCCTAGAGCTATTTATAAAGTAACAGAGGCAAGATAAAAATCAAATAAATAAATGCTACAAGAATATATTTGCATCTAACGATTTTCTTGCTGAGATTTTATATCATTGATGCCTCTGACTTCTTGCCTCATGAAAGCAGACAGATAGCTTTTTGGTGCATGTGCATGCATGGTTTTCAAATTTCTGTGATGTGGAATTTATTGCCAAATTGAAATGAATAAATGTTTCCATTGTTGGCAGCCTAAATAATGAAGGCCTCTGTAGTATCTCTGCTGAAGAATCAACCAGTGAAAACACTGTTGTGGCAGATCCAGATGTGATGGAAAATGACCTGCACGAGGGAGATTCCTTGGGAGCCACTGAAGGAGGAGGACAAGATCAAAGGCAACATATGCCAATGCTTTCTGAGCATGGTAAAGAATGCATTGCACTAAGTTTTAAAAGTAGCACTGAAGACTTGCCAGCCATGATGTCAAACCCCATTACCGTGAATGACAAAAACACCAGAACTGTACCTCTTGATAGTGCAAAAACAGATGCTGACTGTTATGCTATTACTTTTGCAAGAGAACCTGAGAAAGATCCAAATAATACTGCTTTGGAGCAGATTCCTTTGTTCGATTCAACTTGGACACCAGGATGTGAAACCGAGGACAACAATTCCAGTGAATTAGATTCGTTGCCACAGAGTGAACTGTTGATTGAAGGAGACAAAACACACATTAGCCTGTTGCCTAAGAGTGAGAAAGGCAGAGATTCTTATACCACTAAAGAAATCAGACAGGAGACCGGATTGGAATTGAGCCTAAATAATGAAGGCCTCTGCAGTAACACTGCTGGAAAATCAACCAATGAAAACAATGTTGTGGCATATCCCGATGTGATGGTGCTGGAGAATAACCTGCTTAAGAGAGATTCCTTAGAACCTACTGAAGAGGAAGGAAAAGATCGAAGGCAACATATGCCAGTTCCTTCTAAGCATGGTAAAGAATGTACTGCACTAAGCCTTAACAATATCCCTGGAGGCTTGCCTGCCTTGGTGTTATATCCTGCTATTGTGAATAACAAAGACACAAGAACTGTGCCTCTTGTCAGTGGAGCAGTTGCTACAACTTTTGCAAGAGAGTATAAGAAAGATCCAAATAATACTGTTTTGGAACAGATTCCTTCATCAGATTCTACTTGGATATCAGGACCTGAATCCAAGGAAAGCAATTCCAGTGAATTAGATTCGTGGCCACATAGGGAATTGTTGATTGAAGGAAAGGAGGCACACATTGTTCAGCTGCCTAACAGTGAGAAAGGCAGTGATTTTTATACCGCTAAAGAAATCATACAGGAGACTAAATTAAAAGAGAGCAACAAGGAAGAGGCTTTAATAAAACCAGTGGGACTGAACACAGGTAGTGTAGATAACCTGGTAATGAAAAAAGAATATTGTATTGCAAATAATCTCACAACAGAAAATTCAGACGTAAATAAATATGGTATATCTGGTATTGATCAGAGCCTTGTTGAGTTCAGAGGTGTCATCAGCGAAGATTGCAACAGTGAAGTGAACCGAGGGGACAATCAATTCCAAATATTTCCAGAAAGGGGTACTGAGGTGCTTGAGGATCCTCCTACTGTATCCAGTTTGTCTTCAAACACATCAAACCTGTTACCATTAACCATGAGAGAACAACCAATTGGTGACTTGGTGACTGAAAAGGAATGGCTAGAAAAGGCTATAAGTCCAGAATCAAACATCCATCGTGTGGATTTACCAGTCAGCTTGGAAACTTCTGATGCATCCTTGTTGCCAGAAAATAAAAACAAAGTGCAAAAAGCAAATACATTTCAGAACACAGCAGAACAGATTAGCAGCAATGAAATCACACAAACTGAATCTCTGAACAGGGGAAATACAGCCTTAGGTGACCCAGAAAATGTTATATATACGGTGAAGGAAGAATCTGTTGGGGATAAACTGTTGTTACTTGACAGAAGAACAAGTGATTTCATGTGTGAGAATGACCTTGCTGACCATAATAAAGAAGAAACTACAATAGCTGAGAAATACGAACATACTTCTTCCAGAAACGAAGAGCACGGATGTCAAGAGGTGCCATCCTCAAGTCAGGGTATACATAAAGATATAAACTGTCCCCAAGAGACGCCACTAACTTTTGATATGAATTCAAGACAGATCAGTCAAGATGCTGCTTTGGATGATCAAGTTAGTGGTTTAGAAACCAACATCAGTGGCAAAATTTTAGAAAAGAATCTCAGTTCGAAATGTAATCTGAATACACTCAATGATTATTCACCAGAATTAAGTGAGAACTTGGAGCAAAAAAACACAAGCATAAATGAAAAAACAGTGGCCAGTCTTGAGCCATCTGAACTATTACTTTTACAAAGAAAAGAGAGCTTGCGGACTTGTGATCTTTTAAAGTCCAGTGTAGAGGATATTCAGTTCTGCTTTCCAGTCAATAAAGAGATAGAGGATGTGGATGAGTCACTGTCCCTGCCTCTTGAAGAGAACAATGTTCTGCAAAATAAAAAAGAGGAATCCTGGGAACAGTCATTTGCTCAAAACACCAAATCAGAATTGGAAGACCAGTTGATGGATGAAATAAATTCAGAGACTAATGCGTCAAATGCAGAAATAATTGCAGTGTCTAAAACGGAACTTGAGTTCCACAACTTAAATGAACAGGCTAGAAGTGCTGAATGTGTTGCAACTGAGACGGCAAACATTCTAGAGGATGAATCCCACTCTGAAAGTAAAAGATGTGCCTCAACAGCTGGCAGTGACCCAAACTCTGTACCTGTGACTACTGCTGAACAAAGCAGTGATGTGGGGAAGAATGACAGTAATGAAGCAAGACAGGAGGAATGCAAAACAGAGATGAAAAAACAAGAAACTGACACAACTTTGGCACAAGAAACCCATATCAAATTGGACTCCACACAGCAAGTGCAGCTGGAACAAGCAACTGAAGAAAATGACCTTAGTATAAAACATGATTATTCTGGCAGCTCTTTAGTATCAGCAGTTGGAGCAGAAACCAGTCCCCAGCTACTAAAGCTTGGAGACTTAGGTGATAATAGCCTAAGGGCAAACAATTCTCCATTCATATGCAATGATGGCAAAGAACTTTTGGAAACTCATCCCAAAGAGACTGTGGAAAATCCACAGATGGTGGACATTTTAATAATATCTCCCAAAGTTCAGTCAAAAGAAAGCTCAAAGCCCTTTGGCACTGTCTGCAAGGCAAGTGAAGACGAACAGTATGTTTCAAACCCAGAAGATAAAGACCTGGATCACGGTGGTCTTCAAACAGTAGAGAGTTTTCAGGGACAGCTCTCTAACCAGACATCTCCTGAAAGGGTACACCCACTGGAATTAAATCATTTCAGTAACCATGGGGAGCTTGATAAAAGTGAACTACAACAAACTGAAGACAATCTACACAAACTCCAAATAGTACTTGGTGGGCCAGAGACAAAATCAACTAATTTATCAAACGACAATGCATCTTTAACACCTATTTCTGAATTTCTGGGAAACGCCTCACAAAACAACAACCTGCCAAATGTAATAAACTCACCAGAGGAAGAAAGTTGTCTTAGCAAAGAAACCTTAAACAATGTAAAGCAAGACATTTCTAATTCTCTGCTTTCAGATGGTGTTTTTGAAGGAGTAAACCAGAATGGTGCATTTGCTGAAAAAACTATTACAGTTAAACAGTTGGATGGCTTAGATGAGCTTTCAGATAGCAAATGCACAAGCAATATGGACATTACAGAGTTTATTCCAGTGACACAGAAAACTGAACAGGCACAAACCCTGCAGGAGAGTTTAACCTGTGTAGGTGAACATTCTAAGGACAATGGGACTGATGTTAATTTACCAAGCAAAGAAGCAGAATTGGATGAACAAAGTTTACATGCAGAGATAGAAGAACACCTGAGTTTAGCAAATGAGACTATTCAGAAAGATGAACAAGTAACTTGCAAAGGGGACTTAGCTTTCCTGCCTTCTGAAAACACAGGAATGGATGAACATCTTCCTGGATTACCTAATAGCCCAGAAGTTCCTTTGAGTGATGCTTGGCATAAAACCTGTCCCATTGAAAAGACTGACATCCTATCTGTTAGCTCTCAAGCAAAACCAACACCTCTTTCAACATCGGCATTTCTACATAACGGGCCCAGCCAAGTAAGCTGCCAGCCTACAGACTTTATGTATCATGGCCCTAAAGGTGAATTTCAAAAAAGTGAGCCAGAAGCTGTGGCATGTCAAGATGTCTTTGACACCACTCCCAGTCTCCAGACTGCGGCTGCTACACCCATTGACTTAGATGATGCTTTTGTAGAGAACAGCACAACCGATCAAAGGAAACCAGAAGTAATGAATTTAGAAGATATTCCTTCTGAAGCTGTCCCAGGAAAAGAATCTTACATTCCAGGCCAAGAGTTCCTTTCAGAAGAGCGTGTTTTAACCTTGCAGGATGTTTCTGAGATCAGGCAATCGGAAAGAAATTTGTCGCCATTTAATTTCAAGAAGTTGCAGGATGAGATCTCGACAATTAAGCTAAAAGGGGATAAAAGTGATGTAAAAGCCCAGCAGCTTAACAGCTCAGCAGAATCTCTGCTCAGCCTTTCAAGTTTAGAAAGGAAGCTTTTGGACTTTTCTACGCTTGATGAGCAAGCAAATTGTAAAGAGGACACTGCAACAAATATAAGTTGTGAAGATAACAAGCACCGTAAGATCGAAGAAGAAAGCAAATGTAACTTGATAGAGAAATTCAACCTTCCCAAGATGGAAGGAAATGTTCCCAGGCAGCCTGCAGCAATATCTGAAAAAGAACCAGAAATTTCATCTTCCAGGGCATTCAGCATTGGCTTTTTTGATTTCAGAAAACACATTAGCAAAATATTTGAACAGGTAGCACCAAATGTTGTGCCTGCCAACTTGCCTAACCTTGCCACTGAACAGAGTCCAAGTGAGGAGATCAGTCCAGAGGGTAAAGAAACAAAGGTTAAGCAAGGTCTGGAAGAAGGTGAAAACAGCAGTGGAGATGGAGATCCAGAAAATGCCTGGAAAACAAACCAGTGCACGTTGCCTTTGGAGACCGAAGTCTGTAATAAAGCCACTAAAGAGAAAATAGCACAGGAACAAGAACACACAGGAATGCTGGCAAACAGTCAGAAGTATGATTTGCCAAGTGCCTTTTCAGAAAAGATCCCTATCAACAAACATTGCTTAAACGAAAACTGTCTTACAACTTTCCCCAAGTTAGTTAAGGTGGATGGCTTATGCAGTCATGAAATAAATGCAGAGATTAATGATCACCTTTGCTCTTTAAGCAGTGATACTGCTGAAAACCAAGTTTGCACAGAAAAAGTAGAGTTTCTGTCTAGAAGTTCTGGAAACCAAGAAATGGAGAATCTGCCATCTTCTCCTAAAAACGAAGAGCCTTTAATAATTCCTGCCTCTACAGGAGTTGTTCCAGATTTTGATGCCACATCTGCTGCTGAAGTAAAAGAAGATAATTTAATTAGTCTGTGTAACTTTGAAACAGATGAACCTAAAGAAAAGTTAATGTATGATGGAAATAAAAACACCGACAAGGGAAATGGTGACAATAGCACTGACTCAATATTGCCATTTCTTATAGATGATCTTGATGCTCATAAAGACCAAACAGATCAGTCCAGGATATTGTGTGGTGAAAATCCTAATTTTTCCAATGAACATACATTACAAAACAAAGCTGTTACAGTTCTGGATACCATAGATAGCAATAACTGGTTGCAAAAGTCCATAGAAGAAGAGGACACAGCAGCACATGAGTTAATTACTTATTTAAAAAATGAAGTAAGTCCTCCTCATTCACCAGATGAGTCCAAATTGGGATCCAGCAGTGTTCAAGAGAGTTGTGTAGAAAAAGCAAATGACATCAATTTGAACACGCCAGAAGGACCAGGTTTTTCTACTGATATTCCTAAAGCAGATACTACAATCATGCTAATTACCAACAACTGTGAAGCAGGTTTGCAAGCCAGCAGAGACATTCAAAGTCCTGATGTAAAGAGGCATTCAGAAACACTTCTAGGGATGGAACAAACTCTATGTACAGATGTGGAAATGGCTTCTTTAAATCAAGCCAAAGAAGAACCTGCAAGTTTTCAAGATAGCCAGAAAATAATACCAACTACTTCACATTCTGAATTGGAGCAAAGCTTTCCTGGTTTGCTTGAAAACATGACAACGGAAGAATTACCCCCTGAAAGGTATTTAATTTAAAATTAACTGTAAAAAGAATTTAGAATATTGATATTAAAGCAAGATAGCAATTATGGAGGATGAATCAAGCATCTTTAATTTTTTAATTAAATTGAATTTTGTTTCGAATGGTTTATCTTGCAGCAGGGACAGCCTACTTAGGAAAAACCCCTTAATTCTTCACCCGAAAATAATGAAAATACTGGATTTTGAGAAACTAATGCCACTTTTTACAGCCTGAAAGCTGTACAAATGTCATGGGTTTTTTTTTTGAATGCTAACCCTTAGACTACAATTCAATATACGCTTTCCAGACATTAAGCTTCTCTATACAACCACTTTTGTGGAATAATTAAGGCAACAGGCTAGAAACTGAGACATCATGTGTTCTAGTTACACCTTGGGCACAAAGCCAGTTGCATAAACTTGGATCAGTTACTTTAGAAAGTAATACTTTTGAAAGAGAACTCTCAGCTCTAGAAAAGAGGCAATGGCCAATCACGTTTGAAAAACCTTGCCGAGAAAACTGCAGGGTCTAGTCCAGGCAATATCCAGAATAAAGTCTGACTCAAAGAAAGAAACCCACACCCCTTAAAAAAATGCTTCACTGAAGTCAAGGATCTTATTTTTGGATATATAGTTCAGGATTAAACATGTATATCATTATAATCTCTAGGTTGTCAGTCATATGTTAATAGCTATAATCAGATAGCTCCGCTTTAGCTGTGTTTATTAATGCAAGATCTTATATGTAAAGAAAAAGTTAACGTGGAATAACTCTGACTGCTACTGTACAATTCACCTAAATTACTCAAAATTATTTTCCAATGTATTCCAAAATGTTCAGTTTCCTTTCATATGTCATATTATTTCAGAATTTCCAGAATTGAGAATTGATTGAGATCTTAATTTATATGGCATAACATTGGTATACAGATGTGTGGAATCTGAGATTTGCATGTTTATTTAGCAAATTTATATAGCTCTAAGTTGCTTGCCTATGTAGCATGTTCAAGATCATTCTTTCACAGACACACAGCTGAATTGTTAATATTTCACAGCTGAGGAACAAATGAAGCATACTACAGACCTGTTCTCTAGTGTTTATATTCACATAATTTGTCCAAATTTTAACTGAATCAATTGGGTCCATACAACAAGCTAAGATGTAAAGTAGCCATATTTTGGCTGGGTTCTTTCAGGAATCTCCCTTTTAACCTAATATTATTCATGAATCTAGTCATTATTTCATTTCTTCTTCGCAAATTCAAAGGACCATGGATCAAATGGAAGAAAAATGTTAAATTAATCTCTAACCCTAAAACTATTTGTAACCAATGACTCATTCTAAGTCCCAAAGGTGTTTTTCTAACATTTAGCAAACTTTTTTTTTATTATTTTAAGTATATCCTTAAAACTTTTCTTGATCTTAATTTTGAATCTGAGAAAATATATTCTATAAATTATTATCATATTTGAGTCCATAGGCTTCCTTCTGCATTAACTATTATTGTCATAACCTTGTCATACCTTTCCCAATCTCTCCTTGCTGTACCTGAAAGGGGCACTCCAGAGTAACTGCTAAGGAACTTCAGCCAAGGTTCACAGAAAAATATTAATTGCTCCTGATAGTTAGCAATTGGAGGCTTGCAGAAGGAAGCTCTTTAAATAATTTCTTTATTAAAAAAAACATGAACACTGAACATTTAGATTTGCAGAACAGTCTTAACCAAAATAAAACAAACCACTTTATGGCAATATATGTGGTGTAAATCCAGCCAATTGTGGTTTAGTTGATAAATTATAATTAGGCAAAACACAGCTAAGTGTACTCCATGAAAACATAGCTCAACATTACAAACCGATTTCAACATTGATAGATTTTAATACTAAAATTGCAAAATAATAAGGTGGAAAGAAATTGCTTTATTGTATCCATCATTGACCAAAACTGAGCGAGGGAACTAGTATTTGGACTCAGCATTGGGTCAGGTAAATTATTAAGACCATATCTTAATTATTTATTTAGCATATGAAATGTAGCAGGTCTTATTTTTCTACGGACAACTATTTCCAAAAGAATAAGATGTAACTTTCAAGTGAGATATTAATTTGTATAAACTTTTGGGACTGTGATCTAGTCTCATGAATATAAAACTGGAATACAAATCAGGCAAAAGCAGAAAAATGAGTTCAAAATGAAATATGTAAATAATATACCTACATTGAATAAGCATCAACTAGAAACTAAATGATGAGAGATCATCTATCTCAAACCACAGAGTTAAGATATACAGTTAATATGCGTAAGCAGGTCTGATATAATACATTTTGACAGATGTACTTTCTCAGTTCTTTCTAACTTAATCAAATCTGTTCAGAATGAATTTAGAATATAATATTTCAATATTCATGTCATATTGGAAATATTGGGATCATATGGAGCCAGTACATCAATAGATGCTGACCATGGATCTTATTGTAGATTAAAGTCACTGACATGAATATACTACATGCATGACATTAAGCTAATAAACAAATAATAACAGTAAAAGTATTGATATTAGAAGGTAATGAGAACATTGGATCATATATGGATCACCATGCCTCCAATTGTTTAATCTTGTTAAATAATTCTCCAACGATGCTTGCAAAAAATTAAGTTCCATAAGGAACATACCTTTACTGTCATATTGTTACATCTGCTTTTTTTTCGGTTTGTTTGTATTGTATTTTATTTCCCTACTTTTAATTGTTAGGATTTTTGTCTGCTTGGTTACTTTATTAGCATACAAAATGTTTTTCAGGCTACAAGATGTAATAAGTTTGCCTCACAATAAACAGCAGCTACTAAAGAGATAATATCCTTGTCAGAAAAAAACTTAGCCACACTTTTCCCAGATAGATCTGAAGTCTAGATTTCTGACTTAAAAATGAATCTTTTCTATATCATTTTAGTGTAAGGGTAGATAAAATAATAGTCCAAGTTGTCATTTTTGAGGATGTGTGTGCATTTTTAAACCAGGGCCCAAATTAACACCCCCCAAAATAGCCATTAGTATTTGTTTGTTTGTTTATATAAATATCCTTTCAGAGCATCATAATTAATCTAATAAATTGGTGGATATATCCTTTCAGAGCATTATTTGTCCCAAGAATGTTGGTAGCCCCATCAATCACAACTAAGAGATAAGAACAGCTTTCTTGCCTCCCAGAGTTGTTGGTGCTCCATCACTGGAGTTTTTCGAGAAAAGATTGGATAACCATTTACCCAAAATGGTGCAGGTTCCTTCCTTGGGCAGAACATGTATAAGGTCAATTCCAGCCCTAGGATTCTGTGCAGAATAAGAATCTTGAGAATCGCTCTCAAAGCAAGCAACTGCAAATGAGAGGTTCCACCAGTTTTTATACATGGCCCCCAAATATCAAGGAAACATCATGTGGTCTCAGAGATTGGCACAAAAAAAAAAAAAAAAAAAAACCCAAAAACAAATGTCTCCCTAACAAGCATTTTTTATCGATAAAACAAGCATTTTTCAGATCTGATCTATATCACATAGCCATCAAAAAGCAAACTTAGATAACTCAAGTCTGTAAATCGGCCAGCAGTCAAGTTAGAATTTGCTCATATGCCAGAACAACTCTTTAGCTTGGTAGATTTGCAACAAATGTGTGGGAAAAGTCATACAAAGTATTACAATGGCTGAAAAGTATAGAATGGCTAAAATCTGGCTGTCATCTCCACAATCACTGGTTGTCTGTTGACAGGTATATAAAATTCTTGTTTAGATACCAGATTATATAAAGAATGTTTATATTGGGAGGCTATGGGAGAATTTAAAAAAAAACCTGGAAAGCAATTGTATTGGACTCATTTGATTATCTTGTTTAGGAAGTGCTAAGAGCTGCCACTTTGCCGTTATTTTCCTGTCTGCATCTCAAAATTACAGAGACCAGGAATAAGGGAAGAATAAAAACTATCTAAGTCAGTAGTGGGTTGCAACCAATTTGCCCCGGATCAGGCGAACCGGCAGCGGCAGGAGGCTCCGCACACTTGCCTGGATGCTTCTGCGCATACATGCCCAGAAGCAAACCGGTAGTGACGGGTTTTAAAATCCACCCCTGATCTAAGTGGGACAAAGGGGAGGCAGTGGCTCAGTGGCTAAGACACTGAACTTGTCGATCAGAAAGTCGGCAGTTCAGCGGTTTGAATCCCTAGTGCTGCATAAGAGCTCCCATTACTTGCCCCAGCTTCTGCCAACCTAGCAGTTCAAAAGCATGTAAAAATGCAAGTAGAAAAATAGGGACCACCTTGGTGGGAAGGTAACAGCGTTCTGTGCGCCTTCGGCATTTAGTCATGCTGGGCACATGACCACAGAATTGTCATCAGACAGCGCTGGCTCTTTGACTTAGAAATGGAGATGAGCACCACCCCCTAGAGTGGGAACAACTAGCACGTATGTGCAAGGGGAACCTTTACCTTTAAGTGGGACAAGATCTTAATATCTGTAATATTGGGGGTGGGTGTCATTAGAAGACACTATCATACAATTATATTTGTTTCTGTATTCTGCCCAAAAAAAGTCTGTTCATCCTTCAGATTGAACCATGTAAGATGAAGGTCAAATTTAAAATCTAATTGGGTTAACTTGCAGCCTGCATTAATAATTTATTTATCCTCTGAGTGACAATCTCTGATGTGACATAATCTGCCTTCCTGATATATTCAGAAAAGAGTTTTATTGTTAAGGTTTAAGCTTGAGTCAAAATCTGCAAGATTCAATTCTGAATGAGGAAATTTAAGCAGCAACTCAGTAATCCTTACATAGATCTATATGGTTATATTGTGTACTAAGCCCATAATTTAACTGTGATAAAAACATAGTGCCCTTGTGCTTTCTTCCTTTTTGAAGGAAGAAGCTGTCACCCTTCATGAGGAAAAAGGGAGTAACTTTTGATTTTTGGTTCATTTAAGATAAATTGTGTTTTGATCAGTAGTGGTTTTCAC